CTTCTATTGTTTGTAGACTTTGGTATATTATGTTTGAAGGATTCATGAATAAACTGTAAACATTTCCATGATACATACTTTGCCTTTTTATCTTTCTTACAGAAATCATAAACCAAAGACCCTACAGTAAACACCAAATAGTTTTACCCTAACATTAGAACCTCCCAAATAAAGATACAACCTTCTGGAGATCCTAATTCTCTCTTCTCTGGATATAACATGTAATGCCGTAATTGAGTATGACACTGAATTATCTGGTCATGCTTTTCCTTACATTTGCCATCTAGAGAGACCATTTTTATGCTGTGAAGCTTGTTTTGTCTTGGTGTAAGCATAATTCTGAGACTTTCTGGGACATGTAGCAATATATTAATAGGTTAGAAATTTTTTTGAAACAACTTCATAGTTTCACATATTTTTATAAGGTAAAAAGACATAATCAAATTTAGATGTACATTCCATTTAGATCAATCCTTTCAAATAATCAGAATTCAGACAACTGAAAGTTAAATCAAGGTGTTCATTGTAGTTGGCAAACTACAGACATCATGAAATTTCACTATCTCAGTTTTAAGAATTCTCTCGATCTTTAAGATCTTGAGGGATGTTCTATCTGTAAGGGTGTTCTTATATGAAACCCCTCAACATTGACAGATGCAGTGGGTCAAATCTTATAAAATTTTGAAATTGTACAATATAAAAATATTAATAAAGTTTGCAGTAGTGTGCATTTCTCCAAATTAAAAATTTATCAAATTATTACAATCTCAAATTTCAAACTGCTTTTTTGCTATTGCCACAGGGCGGCACCACTTTAGCTGGTAAACAAAAACTTTCACCATTCCTTGCCAGTGTTGGTCTCCAATTGGGTCTTCAGAAACATATATGCCTCTCATCAAATACATCAGTCCTGCTTTGACTGCCAAAGTGGTAATATTTGTTTGTTTTCTCCTATACTTCTGCTAGTACAGTGTGTATATACAGAGTTTCTTTACCCATTCAAGTTTTAGTTTTTAATTGAATTTTTTTTTTTTTTGCTTCTCATGGAGAATATTAATTAAAAATTCCTTGAGAACATAATGAGGGTAGGATATTAGCTTCTGAATTGATTTTTCACAGAATTTGAGAACTGGAAGAGACCCCACACCCCCAGTTTTCCTAGTCTATCTCCTTTACAGGAACACATCAAAAATTGAGTCCATTAAGTAACGGGGTTAGGACAATGTAGGGAGGTGAGGACAGAACAGAATCTAGTTCTTTCTCCTGAGCCAAGAAAGAGGCTTTTGGACTTGAAGTGCTAATCACACTTGAAGAGGCTAAGTTTATAAGGACACTTAAGTTGTGCTTCTACATACAAACCAGTGTAAAAAAAAATGCTCTTTTTTCTTTTCACACTGGTTTGTATGTAGAAGTGTAAATAACCAAAGAGTAAAGACTCTGAAGCCAGCACATTCACTGAAGATAGTTCATTTTGATTATTTATAGGACCAAAGTAAAGATTTAATTAAAAACAACTTCTGTTTGGCCTCTTGTATATTAAACATTCAAACTGTTTTTACTTTTACAAATCTCTGAATCAAATATGGCCACAAAATGACTTTAACAGCATTTATTAGCTAAAGAAAATAATGATAAAATTCTCTTGAATAAATGTGTTTCTAAGAGAAGCATCAGGCACTTTGGGAAGTCTTATTCCCTTGGTTTATAGCACTGTTCTAGCATTGGCAAAATCAAATTTACCTCTAATCCAGTGAATTAAAATACTGAAGACAACTTTTAAAAGGAATGTTAGTGAATCATTTTTTGTGAGTTATACAATCTGACATTTTGTCATTTTTTTTTTGGTTTGAAGGTAGAATGAACATTCTCTAAAGAAATCATATTAAAAATTATTTTATAAAATGCTTGCTTCTCAAGGAAAAGATGCTATATACTTTCAGAAATTAAAAAAAGAAAACTCATTGGGACCCTTTTGTAACATTGATATGAGAGTGAGAAATATTTACCTACTTAACTTTGATACTGACTTTTATTGCATAAAGTTACATTAAAGGGGAATCAATGAGCTAATAAGTTGTGTCCATTCTATGTTAATAAGCTTTTGTCCACTCCACTTGAATCTCAAAAACAATTCATTTACTAATGTAATCACAATCAGTAGAGACTTTACTAATTGGTAAATGTATTATTTAATTCCAAAATGTTTAAGAGTTGCTTTGTAGTAATTTTCAGAAGTACTTAAACACATAAGTACTTAAACACATAAGTACTTAAACACATATTGATAAAATAATAAAAAGAACAGAAAAAGCCTCCCTCGAATCCTTTCTTAACTAGTATCATTTTAGAAAGAGAAAGGTCTTAAAGATCTCTTAGTGGGTAACCTCTTCATTTAGGCAGTGGTTCTCAGACTCCTGGCAGGTTCTGGAAGCCTCTGATAATCAAATGCACTGAGTCCATGCACCTTGGATTAGTAATCTTGAGTTACGGAAGTCAGAGAAGTTTGGTGACCTGCTGAGGGTCTCAGGGCTCTTTTTGCTTGCTTGTACTATAGTTCCTGATTCTGTGAAAATAAACTAAGGAACCCCAACTCCTCAACTCTTAAAATGCATACAGCCAGATACATATGGACAGCAAGAGCATAGACATTTAAAAACAGAGCAGAAAAAAGTAACTTGAACAGAATGTGGCATTTCCCTTGGTCTGTTGCTAACGGCCCACATACAACATGCTTTAAAAAACCCACCCTGGCACTTATTTTCATCATCATTTAAAAATGATTCAAATGGACATTTAGAATGTATGGCATTGAGCATGTATCCCATTTCCTTTAGCAGAGCTGTGTTTTCAGTGGTTATCAGGCTAAGACTGATGTGTATTTGGTTTCTTCTCTTTGGCCATGCTGTTAAAGCCAAAGACAATATTTTCATTGTGTATTTTCAGTACTTCAGAGCCAGTGGCACTAAACATTCCTTTTTGTAAGGAAAATAATTATGGACATGATCTTTTAAATGCCTTCAAGATTTGAAGATGTGAAAAAAGACATAGAAAAAGGAATTACTTCATTTTATTTATACTATACATTTTATTTTTTATTGACTCAGAAGCCAATAGTACTTTGTTTTATTAAAAACTAGATACTTCTGCCTCTTAGCTGTCATCTTTGGGGTGGCTGTTTTCTGAATATTGTTCCAATTAGAGTTCCCACAGATTCTGAGGGTTGGATAGCCCATACACTCAAAAAAACTCTGCACTATAATTTAAAACTTCAATAAACTCAGGCACAAGTCCATAACAACCCAATAGGCTAACAACCTGTTTTGATGTTTCCTGCTGTCAGCAAACACTTCTTATTGATAACTGTTCTAATGAAGTTTAAATAATTTTTACCATAACACTGGGAAGCTCCAAAAAAGTAATAGTGGCTAGGTGAAGTGAAAAAGTGACCTATGATGGAATATAATTTTTTTTATCATTCTAGCAGGCATAAAGTCAGGGAGCTCATATCCACAGCTTTTCTCAGCCTCAAGTTTTTGGTCCTGAATGTTACACTGCAGGCTTTATGTTTTAATCATTACCCCAATCTAAAAATAGAAATTATCCTATGGGGAAAACATCTCCTTCTTTTGGCCTATACTTCTAGAGGATTCTAACGCTTTCTTGCTAACCATTGTTTTAGTACTGCACACCTGGACACATCACGCAGTACATTTAGTCAGGCTTTGGAGAATTTATTTCAATTTACATACAATCCTCCAATTCCTCTGGCGATCTTGATGAGAAATCTGACACAGCCACATTTCCCCAGCAGGATCCTCCTTTGCTCGCTATGTTAATAGCCAAAGGCTCCAAGGATCCCTCCCGGGGAGCCGAGGTGGGGCTAAGGGAAGAGGGGTGACTGCGGGGCTTGTTGCGCCGAAGATTTACAATGTACTTCTTGCAGGAGGCTCAGCAACCCCCTCTGTGGCTGTGGGTGTCTGGTGTGACAGAGCGGAGAAAAGCTCTCTAATCTCCCAGTGCCTGCCTCTGCCGCTCAACCGCTCCCCTCCCTCCCGCCTTCCCTGCCTCCTCCCGCTCTCTCGCTCTCTCCTTTGCCTTTCTCGGGGAGTTTCAGTCCCTGAATGCAGCTGGAGTAGCCCTGGCAATCTAAACCCGGAGCCTGTGTACACACACACGCACACACACACGCACACACACACGCGCACACACATGCACACGCGCTCGCACACACGCACTTCGGCTCTCCCCCTGGGGATATGGAGCAAACCCAGAGCTTCATCTACCTGAAGGGGATGGCCCGGCCGGACACTTCTTCCTCACTTGTCATCTCCGGAGGGCAAAGCAATATTCGAAGGAGGGAGGCTCGTGGTCCTGTCTGCAACCTCACGCCGTTTGCCGCCACCGTTGCCTAAAGTATCCTGGGTGGAGGAGAAGGCTTCTCCAGGACAGATCCGCGTCGTAGCTTCGCGGCCCTGGGACTGTAGTCTTTCCCTCCTTGGCCATCCTCTCCTCTCCGGCTGCAGGGTGTATGGCTCGGGCGCCTGGCGTGCTGCCGCCGCCGCTACTGCTGCTACGAACACCTCCCAGCCAGAGGACTGAACGCCGCCGCTGGAGTCGGGGGAGAAAGCGGAAGCCCTAACTTCCCTCCCAACACCCTCGCTTTCCCCACCGCTCCTTGTCCTTCTCCCCAGCCGACGACCGGTTGGAAGGCTCCCGCGGCAAGCGAGGCGAGAGCGCGGCGCAGGGAGGGAGAGCCGGGAGCCGCAGGCGCACAGGGGCGGGGGCAGCATGTGCCCCAGCGCCGGGTGCTCGCCCGAGAAGTAGCGCGCCGGGGCGAGCGAGACGCTTTCCAAGTTGGGCGCGTCCCAGAGCTCTCCGCCCTGTGCCTCGGCCACCGGTGTCTAGAGAGAGGCGGGGCTGATGGGGGGCGCGGAGGCTGTCGTCGCCTGTGGCCAGAGCCCGTCTTAAAAGAACCCGCGCTGGCATCCCCAGGGTCCCAGCCGGCGTCGCGCCCTCGGCCCGCGTGCGCTCTCTGATGTCTACTCTGGCGGTGGCCCGGGTGGCCCGCCCGTGGGGGGTGCCGGAGGGGGCGGGGGAGGAGGAGGAAGCGGTGTGATGGCCCTGGACGGCGAGCGGGGGGAGCAAGAGGAGGAGAAGAAAAAGAAGAAGAAGAAAAAGAAGAGGAAGAAGAAGAAGGAGAAGAAGGAGGAGGAGGAGGGGGCTGAGAAGAGCAGCTCACCCTTCGCGGCCACTATGGGGGAAGACGACACCGCGCTCCGGGCCGGCGGCAGGGGGCTCTCGGACCCGTGGGCGGACTCGGTGGGCGTGCGACCCCGCACCACGGAGCGCCACATCGCGGTGCACAAACGGCTTGTGCTGGCCTTCGCCGTGTCCATCGTGGCACTGCTCGCGGTCACCATGCTCGCGGTGCTGCTCAGCCTGCGCTTCGACGAGTGCGGGACGAGCGCAGCGCCCGGCGCCGACGGTGGCCCCGCGGGCTTCCCCGAGCGTGGCGGCAACGCGAGCCTCCCGGGATCGGCCCGGCGCAACCACCACGCAGGCGGGGACTCCAAGCAGTCCGAGGCAGGCAGGGCGTCCAGCCCGGGGACCCCGTCCGCCCAGCCGCCGTCGGAGGAGGAGCGGGAGCAGTGGCAGCCCTGGACACAGCTGCGCCTGTCGGGCCACCTTAAACCGCTGCACTATAATCTGATGATCACCGCCTTCATGGAGAACTTCACCTTCTCTGGGGAGGTCAACGTGGAGATCGCGTGCCGGAACGCCACCCGCTACGTCGTGCTGCACGCCTCCCGGGTGGCGGTGGAGAAGGTGCAGGTGGCGGAGGACCGGGCGGCCGGGGCTGTCCCAGTGGCCGGCTTTTTCCTTTACCCGCAAACACAGGTCTTGGTGGTGGTGCTGAATAGGACTCTGGACGCGCAGAGGAATTACAACCTGAAGATTATCTACAACGCCCTGATTGAGAACGAGCTCCTGGGCTTCTTCCGCAGCTCCTACGTGATCCACGGGGAGAGAAGGTACGGAGGGAGGCGGTGCCCCGCGCCGCCCCACCCCGCCAGGCTGCTCGAACCGCTGGGCAGCCGGCGACCCCGGGGACCGGCTGGCTTCCAATACCTGGGAAGCCAGAGGTGGGAGAAGGAAGCGAGAGTGGGATAGGACCATTACCCAGACCCCTCAGAGTCTCCCAGATGCCTGGGCTCTCCTGATGCTCACAACTCCGCAAACTCATTCACCGGTGCCAAAAGATGAATACCGCCCCCTCCTCTAGTGGGGACCTCCCCCATCCCAGGTCAAAGTTTCTTAGGCGTCGAAACGCTGGGCTTTTTCTAAAGGGTAGCCTGTAATCTGAGCGATGCCAGAGTGACATGAAAAGCTTGCCAAATTACCATCGAGGGAAAATACGTGAGCGCCAAAGGCCAGGGCAGCGGCTCATCCTGGTTATGATGTCAGGGCAGGGAAGGGCAGGGCAGGCACCACCCCCCAACATACCCACCTCCCCTGACTATTAGTTTCTTTGCAGGCGCAGCGCAGACAATGAGTTTGGGCGGGCGGGCGTAAAGTTTTCCAAAACTGCAAGTTGAGATTCGGAGAAGAAAGGGCAGCTCCCAGTGACAGGCTGAGAGGGTAGGAGCGGGGTTTGGTGACTTGCCACGGCCAAAGCCAGCGAGAGACTACCTCTCAGGCTCTGCCAACTCTGTACTAACGCAGAGTGACTCCAGTTGTCTGTGAGTCGCTGCCTCTGGAGATGACTACAGTGATGAAGGATGGGAAAGCTAGAGGTCAGTCTCAAATGACTTGTTAGCGAGTGCCTTTCATGTGTTTTAGATTTGGGCAGTATTGGACTCTTTGTTTTTCAAGAGGCTGTGGGCATGACACAACTTGTTTAGAGCTCAGACTTGGTAATCCAATAGAACTGAGTTCAAATCCCCGCTGTTCCTCTAATTGTGGTGAAGGTTTGAGGGAGATGATAATCTAAGTCGCTAATTCCTGACAATGACTACCTCACACGGGTTAGGAACTCAACCCAACAAAAACTCTGTGGGATAGATGCTATTATCACTCCCTATTGGACAAATGTACAAATGGAGGCACAGAGAAGTCACATAACTCGTCCCAGATCACAGAGTGAGCTGACAAAGCATGAAGTTAGACCCAGGGAGTTTGGCTGCAGAGGTCATGCTCTTTCTTAATTCTAACTTGGGGATAATAATAGTAATACTATACTCATAAGTTTGGTGCAGATGTCCATGGGCAAATGCATTGAGAAGCACTTAACTCTGTGCTTGGCATTTAGAGTGTCCACCATAAATGCTAGCTCTCAAATATGTTGTTGAGTAAATGAATGTTTATTTTTCTTTGCTCTTACCCATTACATTTTAAATAGCCTTGACTACTTAAATGACTATATGGCGGATGAACAACTAAAGCAAACTTAAAAATGAAACCAACAAGTTTAGAAGAGGAGGCAGGTTGGAAATTAGTGATGAGGCAGAGCCTCCTTTTCTCAGGTAATTCTCCCAATAGCAGAAAACTGGGGCTCAGAGAGGCTCAGGGCATCTGAGGACAGAAGACTTGTCAGTAGAGAGCTGGGACTCGAATTTTGGTTCTCTAATCCCTGGACCAGCCAGAGCTTATGGTGTTTAGCAACTCTCAGAAAAAGTCATTGTAGTCATTGTATAAGAGACTAGGAAAATTTTAATGTGTTATGAAAGTACACAGAAGTTCTATTATTTATAGAGAGCTATGAAGTAACCTGATATAAATAAAATGCTCAACACTTTAGTAGTTGTATGATAGTTAAACCCTCCTATAAGTGAATGTATAAATTATTTACTTTCTTACTCCTAAACTCAGATGTAGATACTCTAAATTTCCTTCTACAGCTTCCTCTAATATGTCCTAAAGAATACAGATTAAAAGTGTTTCTTTAAACTCATGATCATATCAAACATGAGAAAAAGGCATAGAAGGCAAATTTGCATGTTATGTTGAGAAACAAGCATATTATGTCAAAATGTCAACAGTGGGAGTTGCATATCATTACTGATAAATCTTGCTATGGTGAAATAAATTCTTGCAACAAATTATGTTTTTTAAGCCATGCCAAAATATATTTGGCAGAGCTGAGCTTGTTTTGGTCAGTGCTTTCAAATTAACAGGACTCTTAAAAAGACCAGATGTTTCTGCTTGACCCATAACTAATTTCTTATACCCCCTAGTGCATATTTGTATTCAAACTCTCTCCTTCAGTTTTCCCCAAAGACGTAAATAACTTCATTGAAAGTTTAACCTAACGCACATGTGGTTAAACTTTGCATCCCAATATAAATGCAGGATTCAGTGTTCTGGAAATCTCAGGATGGTTTTATTTCTAAACAGTATTTTAGAGAAAGTCCTTGTTCCTCTTCCCACACCCAATACCACAGTGAATCTTATAATTTCTTGGATTTTTTTACTGTATTTGATAAGGCAAAACAAAAAAAAATTAAACCATTTCTCAATTATATCAACATTCCATGTATTAAACCTTTCTGTTGTTGTTGCTGTAGCCACTTAGAACATTCTTAAACAGACCAATATCAGGAACTCGACCAGGGTTGGACTTTTATTGTTGATGATTTTTTCCCTAAAATGCAATGTAAATTGGCATTTAAAAACCCTTTTTCAAATAGGACACAGATGCAAACTCTGAATTTTCATTTGATTAATGATTAAATGTCTTGGTTTTCAGTTAGTCGTAATTGTTGCCAATTTAATTATAGGATAATTTCTGTAATGAAAACAAATATTTAATCTGCCAAAGGAAGTCACATTGAGCAACTTAAAATACTTAAAAGAGCAATACTACAACTCAGTCTCCTTCACTTAGCCTGTGTGAAAACAATAAGTCATTAATATCCTATCACTCTGATTCTTCAACTTATCCCTCAGAGATCTGAAAGAAAGAATTTTGGTGAGGGCAGGAAAATTAGATTCCATATGTGCTATATACATTTGACCCCTGGAAGGTTTTTTTCTCACTGGTTGTTGGAGGGAGACTGGATTTGTATTATAGGGAAGACGTGCTTTTTCCTGGTTTCCATACTTTAGCGGATAAAGGTTAAAATACAAGCTCCCCACTAAAGCCCAAGGTTTCCTAATTTGAGGCAAATTCTCTACTCTTGGTTAGTCCTTTGGCTAGGAAAGAAAACTCAACACCTGTTGAATATTGAAAATAAATAAATTCTCTTAAAATTTAAATGTTTGCACATAAGCAGTAAATTATCTCCATTAGGCAGAACATACACTCACTTTTTCCTCAACTAGGTGTGCAGCAGGCAGATAAAAATGGTTGTATATTTATGCCATAGTCTCCTATGGGAGAATATGCTTACTTAGAATTAGGTAAAATGTTTATTTACCTGAAGTAATTGCTGCTTTTGGGTAGCCAGATGGTGAATACACCCATGTTCAAAGTAGGGTACCTTAATTTAGATCCAGATGGTTGAATTGAAAGAGGAAATTTACCCAACGTAAATGAACATTTTATTCACTTGCAAAAGGGAGACCATTTTTCTTTGACACACTTTGATTGGGTCTATAACATGCCAAAGTAACAGAAGACATTAAAAATGGGAGGTCTTTTTCTATAAAGGATTTTAAAAAGAGAAACAAGGATCTCTGAGTAAAGTGGAAAAATAATAATGTGGTTCTCAAAGAGAATTAGGACTACCCTTTTGCAAAAATTGTGTGGAGACCATGGAAAGTTTTATTTCTGGGTAGGTATTTTGCTCAATTCTGGCAATAGTTTGATTGCATGGTTTGATGCATTTGTAATTTTTCAGGAATGAATTAATAATCATGATATTTAATAACAATAAGAAAACCACAGCCTTATTTTATGTTAAAAGCAGTCTCATTTTTTTCCTATTCATTTTGGTGAGCAGATAGTTTTACAGGAGCAAGTGGGAATATATGGCTTTTTGCCATACTATAGAAGGCTGGGAACTGAAAAATCTTTGAAAACTATTTGTTTTTGTGAAGACTTTTTTATATTATTATTAATGAACTTAGTTCATTGTTTTCCTGTCAGGCATACATAACTATATGGGTAAACTGGATCCAGTGCAAGATTTTCTTCACAATTCAGTAAACCAAATCTAGAAAATGACAAAACAAAAAAACTGCGACCATTCAATGATGACTGAGTCAGGGAGGAAAAATTATACAATTGGTGTTTGTCATGCCATGTTTTCCTTTTGTGCTGTGTGATTTGATTGCCCTGGATAGTAATAAAGTATACAGTTTCTCTGAAAGAGTTAAAATAGTTTGTATTTTATTTTTAAGTTTATTTTTAAAAACTGACACAAAGCTGTATTTATCATGTTCAACATCATGCTTTGAAGTATAATATATATACATTGTGAAATTTTTACATCTAGCTAATTAACATATGCATTACCTTACATAGTTATTTTTGTGGTGAGAACACAACATTCACTCTTTTAGCATTTTTGAAGAATACAATGTATCATTATTAACTTTAGTCACACTGCTATACAATAAATCTCTTGAGTTTTTGCTCCTATCAAATTGTAATTATGTATCCTTTGACCAATAACTCTTCAACCCCCTCTTTCCTCTAACTATCCTAGCTTCTGATAACCATCATGCTATTCTTTAGTTCAATGAGATCAACTATTTTTAGATTCCTTATATGAATGAGATCATGTGGTATTTATCTTTTTATGTCTGGTTTATTTTACTTAATATAAAGTCTTCTAGGTTTATCCATGTTGTGGATGGGATTTCCTTATTGGATGGGAAATGATGGGATTTCCTTATTTTTTATGGCTGAATAGTATTCCATTGTGTATATGTACATTTTCTTTATCCATTTATTCATTGATAGACTCTTAGATTGATCCATATATTGCCTATTATAAATAGTGCTGCAGTAAACATCAGAGTGGAGACATTTCTTTGACATACTTAGTTCCTTTCCTTTGGATATATATCCAGTATGAGATTGTTGGAT